GATCTGAATAAAATTATTTGAAATATAATACACAACTGAGATAATATTGAAGGGGACTTCAGAACTGCGAACACTGTGCAGTTACACCTCAAGTATCCACAGGTAGCTGTATCCGAAAAAATCTACAGTACACCGCTGGGACCAACTCCGAAATTTGCACAAAAAGTAAGAGTGTAGTATCAGTACGACCGACCCCATGTACTGGTAACTGCCGAGCCTAACCTCGATGAAGTAGTGACGAGGCTAAGGCAGGTCGCTTACATTAACCTGTACGCAATAATAATAATAATAATAATAATAATAATAATAATAACGGGAATAGTAGTAAGACCAATAAATAGTATTAATAAAATAAAATCAATTCGGCCGTCACAATCCCTCAAATTATTTCCATTACGGCGTGCAACTCGTTCTCCCAAGATAAACTTTAAATAAGTCTGTTGCGGCGTGCAACCCGATTCCCAAATATAGACTTTTAAATATGTCACACCCCAAACCTGGGGGCGAGGCCGGCACTCGGTGCCTCACCTATCCTCACGTATACCAATTTGCGACTAAGGGACTCTGAACATATAATGTCATACTTTGGCCATGGGCCACATTTCAAGACAATTGCGAATACTGACTAAATATCAATAAAAAGCTGGGTCGTCATAACTACTACAGCTGTCAATCCAACAAAATGCATATAAAAGGCCTACAAGCCCAACATACTGTATTAACTGACAGGATATGTCTACGAGCCTCTACTGATGGATATACTGTGATCGGAACAAGACTCCGACCTACTCATAACATATATATATATATATGTATATATATATATATATATATATATATGTACGTAAAGCTCTAGATCTGGCGACTCTGAAGGGTATGGAGCTTACCGATCAAGCTAAACTTGGCCAATACCTAATAAGGAGGTGTACCCATCTGCCTGTCTGAACCTGCACACATAAAATGCAGCGCCCCCAGAAAAGGGACGTCAGTACGAAATAATGTACCGAGTATGTAAGGCNAGCCTGCCCATCGATTATAGCTCGATGGTAATGAAAATACTATATTACTGTATATATAGGCTCTCTGCTTTCTTGACTGGAAGAAGATAATACTCAATTGAATATGAAGTCCCGATAACGAGAATACTGTAATTTATGAGACTAGGATAATGTCTATAAATTCGGGAGTATGAACTTCTCTTTATGCCTCGTTACCAAACACATGTAATTATGAGATCATACCAAAATGAAAGAAGGGCTTAGCCTTAACATACCTGGAGTAGGAAAAAATCCGTATGATATTCTTGGAAGAGGTTACACCGTACTCCTTTAGAATCGCAAAATCTCACGTTTCTTAAGATGCTATGAAATCTTTGTTGAATTGCTTTATCCGTGAATTGCTTGAATTGCTTGTAATTGCTTAGAATTGCATGAATTGGTTGAATTGCAAAATCTACCGTACTTTAGAGAGTCTGCCATATATTGCTTGAAAGATATGTATCTCTTAATTGCTAAAATATATGTAGATCTTTGAATTTACAAGGCTTATGTTATGACTAAGGACTAAGCCACATATTAATATATTTGCCACCTTTCCACTCAATTGTAAGAGTCACAATTTGGACATGGCCTTGCTGCCACGTGACATCTTTGGTCTTTAACCAAAAGACCATAACTAACCACTAATTAATAATTAACCTTGTTAATTCTCCCATTAACCAATAATTAATCAATTACCCACATACTTAAGAATTATCCCAAATTACTTAAAATATTGCTCATTTTTAACATACCTTTTACACCTCACTATCATGGCAATGTGGTACCTTGTATGGTACTATACCATAAATACCAGATACTTTAGCTCGGGCCATATTTTATCCCAAAATGTCAAACTTCGACAAAATTCATTTTCTTCGATTTGATTACCCTATCACCTTCGCCAATTTACTCATCACTTGTTTAAAATAGCATAATGTTTATATTCACAAAATAATTTCATTCCTGAACTTGCGTCGATTAACTTACGACGAAAATTTATCATACGAAAATACGAGATGTTACATCATTCCCCTCTTTGGAATATTTATCCTCGAATGTTGACTGATATACTTATCATTTTCATAGCTTATGTCCTCTGAATTCTTTAGTACTTTCCTTACCATCTAAGCAACTGTTCTGTGAATAATTCTAAGGGCCAGGGCATTCCCCCCTTTAAGCTTCTTTCTCATACCACGACTGGTAGTCGGAATTCTTCTAATCTCATAACTGTTGCTACCTTATATCATAGATCTGTTTATCCATCCGTATGACTTTACTGCCATAACTCTTACTTTGATTTATCGTTATTGAGGGTTGCTACCGAACTTCAAGTTACTTTCGTTGCTTATCCTATATGCAATAAGCTAAGTCCATTAATGCCCCCTCATTACTGTTCATCTTAATAATGACGGCCTAATATCATTTCATACTTTGTGACCTTTGTCCATCCATTGTTGATTCATCTTAATACCTATAACTTGGCCTCTTATGTAACACTACCTCTAGGGCTCACGTCTCATCGGGGAACTTTTGAAGTGACTTTCCTAATCCACGTAGGGGTGATACTGTACTTCTATGACCGTATTTTATAGCATCCCAATGTGATTCACTTTCGTGGGTATTTTAATATCGTACAATCCATGAAATCCTCTTCAAATCATTACTCACTCAAAGACCTAAACGTCATCCTTTATCTATCACAATCACACCCTTATTTCACTACCAGGACCGCATTCCATCTCTTCTAAATGCTACTAGTCATAGATTCCTTTGAGCTTATTACCCATCAGCTCTATCTCATTTTCATGGGCTTAATTCCGAGGGCTTATCCATTCTCGTTACCTTCTCACTCTCCCTTTCTTATCCTTAGTCTTGTCTTCCTACAATCTTGTCGCTCTACCATACTTTAGCTTGCGACCCATACATATCCATTTATACTACTCGTATCCTTCCTTCAACTTCCTTGCACCATAGATTTCCTTGTGTTATTCTGGAACATCAAGTAAGACATGACGTCGTCTCTAACTCTTCTTTTACTTTATTAACTAGACCTCTCGATACCTAGAAACCATAGTCTATAAGATATGCCACTGACGATGTCTCTATCATTCTTGGATATTGAATCCCCGCGATTCTAGCCTTCTATCCAAAGTATGGACTATTCCCAATCTTCTGCATCTGAGTATCTCGTATGATCCCGTTCAATTATACCAACCAATTCTGTAATATAATACGGACTTACTCGGGGTCTCAAATCACATCAAATAACATCATAATTACAATTCACACCTTGATTCGGACTTAAAAGTTTCAAACGTTTCCATTTACAAAACTTGTGCCGAAATATGTTAAATAAATCCGGAATGACTTCAAATTTGGCACATAAGTCATAAATGATATAACAGAGCTATTTTAATTTTTAGAATCGAATTCCGACCCCGATATCAAAAAGTCAAATCCGTGGTCAACTTTGAAAATCTTTAGCCTTTAAATTTCTAGTTTCAGTCAAATGGCCATAACTTGAGCTAGGGACCTCCAAATTAAATTTCGGGCATACGCCCAAGTCCCAAATTACTATACGGACATACCGTAACTATCAAAACACTTATCTGGGTTCGTTTTCTCAAAATGTTGACCAAAGTCAACTTAGTTGAGTTTTAAAGCTCTATTTCATATTTTAATCAATGTTTCATATAAATACTTTCCGAAAAATTATATGGACTGCGCACGCAAGTCGAAGAGTGATAAATAGTGATTTTTGAGATCTTAGAATATATAATTAATTATTAATTTAAAGATGACCTTTTGGGTCATCAAAAGATCAGTAATCTTGCCTATAACAATTTCTCTATGAGAATTAAAACTGAGACAAACACGATTACAGATTTGAAATAAGAGTTTTACAAAAAATTATGCTCACTCTACGATTTTATTCATTGGTTATTATATATTAATTTTGCTCCATGAGAATTACAAAATTAATATAAGAATAACTTAAATAAAATATATAGAAGTGATAATAATGATTAATTAGAAACCATTATTTCAGCTCAGTATGAATTATAAAAAGAAAATTTCAAGCCAAGAATGTGTTAAAACTGAAATAATATTATAAAAATATATATCAAACTTCATCAACTATCCCAACAAACGAGATTACTCCATTATGGAGTATTTAAATCTCACAACAAAAAGGAATTCTAGAATATTGCCAATACTCTTAGAAAATCCAAAAATTAACAAGAAGAAAATAAAATAGTTAAAGAAAAAAGTTAAGACCAAAGTTTAGAGAAAAGTAGTTCTCCTCCCCTCCCCTTCGATGCCAAATTGCATTATATATATAGACAAATCTTGCAAGCATTAACTGATTAGACGTGTCCAAGGAATGAGTTTGGATGTGTTCGAGGAATGAGCTTGTATGCGTCGAAAGTTTTTTTTGTAGACTTCCATTTGTTATTTCAATTCTTGTGTTTGCCATAACAGACTTTCATCGAGCATTCTGTCTTTTCCTTCCGTTATTTATAATTTTTTTTTCCTGCAAAAATAGTTAAAAAGAGGCAAAATTCGAAATATAATTTAAGTTTATTATTTAAAGTAGGATATTAAAAGTATATAATAAGTTAATATTTTATATTCATCAATAAACCTAGACAACATTCGTAACTTACGTTAATTGCTAACCAAAAGTTTGCCGAGATACTCTCGACACCTTTCCTAGAAGACCTCAAAACCCTAACATGTTGGGAATTCTCAAATTGGTTCAATATTTATCAAATCTAGTCCAATTTTAGTCAAATTTGATATGTATCTCTGCAATATATTCTCCCACTACAGATTGCGGTCTCGAAAAAAGCTATGTTTGGAGAGTATCAGAGATTTAGAAGGAAAAAATTTTGGCGGTAAGAACTTTCAGCTTCCCTCCTACTAATTCTGAAATTACAGTTTCTTTTATTAATTAGAATTCTTCAGACAACCTAATTTTGCATTACGCTTTGGTAATTTAATCACATATACTTGGAGATTGAAGAAGCATGGAAAGGGAGGCAAGCTATTGGAAGAACATTGATATAGGGTTCAGACTCTTGGTGAGGCTTTCACATGTTATTTTCTATCTTCTATTTAATCTAATACTATGTAAATCTATTTTCTGTAATGTGATAGTTAAAAGAAAGTATTTTTTTGTTCTGAAGTACTTACTAGGTTTCTCCTTTCCAAGTTATTCAGGCTCTTTAAGGTTGTTTGCAAAGTATGTCTCTACTATTTGAACTACCTGTATAGAAAAATATGGTGCTATTTGAAAAGGATTGGATTAATATGATCTCATTTTAATTGTTAGATGATTATGGATTTACTCTAGTGAATTTAGTTATCTACTCTACACAAGGCATCAACTGTCAAATCAACCTTTTTCATCTTTGCTTCTCAGGTTCAACATGTGTTTTATATCCATCATCCAATGGTAAATGAGTGTCAATTGTTAATAAACTTAAGCCAAAAGATTTTTCTAATTTAGGTGAAAATACACAAGCAACTGGGCATATGGAAGGCCATATGAAAGTGTGGCATGAGCAACGACTAGATGATACTACATTTGAAAGTAAAAAGATATTGAATGGGTTAGGAAAGGAGTGTCTGGAACAGAAATTGACCCACAAACTCTAGAAAGTATTGAAGTATTTGATGAAGATTACATGTCTTATTTTGACTTGGTAGTTAGATATTATTTCATACTCTTAGACAGTAGAAATTATTTTTCAATTTGGCAGGAATCATAGTTTTTGAACAATTTCATTGGGATGGCAAGAAATAGACACAAGAGATTCTAGTCAAGGTGGTCTCTTTCCAATTCTTCGGAGCAACAAGAACAACAAATGGGAGGTACAACAATGCCTAACCACCTCAAAACGGGCCAACAAGCAGAGTATGGGTGTTACAATTGACTCAAAATAGTAAATCGATCAGTAATGAGCAGGTAAATAATTTTATACTCATTCACAAACCTTTTTCTCTTTAAGTTATTGTTGCTAATTTTTCTTTTAATTATAATAATCTTCTCTTGTAATAGGTTTTCAATAAATCAATTGAAGATCGCCAGCAGTCATTATTACCAATTTCTATTGTTCACACAAATAAGGTGGGTTTGAGCATTATATACTAGCTGTGAGTTTAATTGCCCAGGTGTTGTGATCTTAGTTTTAAGCAGAATATGTGGGATTTTATTTGTTGATATATTTTAATATGTAGCAAATTTCGTAGTGTGGATGCAACCTGTTTGAGCTGTAGTGCAAACTTATTTCGGACAGTAGTTTTATACTTCGCTTAGAATGCATTTAGGGAAAAACTACCTTTCCTACTCACCTCCACCATTCCTTTATTTCTCTTCGGTTTAGTATTTAGACAAATGCAATAAATCCAGTCTTAAATCATCAGATTCATTGTATTTATTTTTATCTGTTCTAATGTTTGGAGATTTGAGATTATCTTATAAATTTGTGAAACTCAATTCTTTCTGGTTATTAATTTTTTCAGATATGAGAGTTATAAGTAAGATAATTTTGGCCTGGCTTATTTCTTTATAATTTTTCCTCTTCAGCTTTGGTTTGGTTTGGTGAAAGTTCTGTCATTCGTTGGTTTAAGCATGCTTAATTGTAGCTACTTTTTTAATTGATGTTCACTTGTTTGTTAGCATTTTGAGAATTGATGGGTCTATACTGGATGGTATCTTTGTGATTTGTGAATAGTGAAGCTTATAGTTCAAAAGAACTTTTACAATGTTGTCACAGAAGGAAATCTAGTATAAAGGTGCTATCAATGTTGCCTCTAAACTTTTGCTTGTAATTTAAAGTTCTTATACTATTTTTGTAGAAGTGTACGACATTCTGGGGCTATCTAGGCTTTTTCTTGTTGATTGTATCTTGTAATCTACACTCAATATTGAATTCTATAAACTATCAAAGTCACCTTTCTAATATTTTTTTCTTAGGTAAACAAAATTAAGAAGAACGAAACTAATAAACTTGGGACGAAGAAAAAGAAATGAGTAAGTTTGGTAAAACATGCAACACATATGGTATTTTTCAGTTTTATTACATAGTTGTAATTCTCCTTTTATATGATTCTTTGCAGAACTTCTGAAGGATGTAGATCAATGTTTTGCAAGGAATACTTGGCTTGGGAAAAGATGGATTCATAAAGCCTTGTTGCAGAATTTAGTCTAGAATTTAAGGGAATTCATTCAGATTAGGAGTGAATTTGACATAGTTCCATGTTAAAATTATTATATCTTTTATGATTTAGTTAGAATTACATTTATTTGAGATATAACAGGTCATTTGATTTGAACTCAAACTTGTAAGGAGACCTTATTATGTCAGTACTATATTCTTTAAATCCAACATATAAAGAAATTTCCTTTTTCATATTTGTTACTTTGTATATAAAGATTGACATTTATGAATGTACAAATCAGATATATATTTGATTCACGACGAATGTAAATTAAATAAATATAATTAAATGTAAATTAAATGTAAGTAAAGGAATTTGTGACATTTAAGCAGCATTATACGACATTTATTTAATATCGTTGTATCCCTACTTTCTTGTAGTGTTAAACTTGATCATATATTACTGGTTGTTTGTTGGACTACCTAATTAAGTATCTCAAGTTTGGCACTTATGTGTTAGGGTTACTTTTAATATAGATAAACCCCACAAACTACCTTTCAAAGATAATCTTTTACTCATAAAGTGATACAATTAAATTTGTACTGTGGTTTATAGACAAGCGAAATGATTGATCTAAAAATGGTAAGGAAATAAAACTAAAAATAAGGCTTAACGACTGAAATAAAAGAAGATAACAAGCCTGATTCCGAACTCATCCTTTCGAGAGTAAAAGTGAAAATAATGATAAAGCGATGATAAAGCTGTTAAATTGAGAGCAAAATGGTAAAGTATAGATTTTGCTTGTACAATGTTTCATGTCCCTACAATTGCTGATAACCCTGCTATTTATAGCTCTACCTAGGGAGACAAGATCCTAGGATCACGCTCCTCTTAAATGAGAATGAAAGTGTCATTGATGAGTAAATAAAGGCATGAAAATATTCTTCATAACGATTGCTCATTAAATGCTAGCAAATAGTCCCTGTAACGGCTGCTCATTGAATGTTATCCGATGTCGAACCTTTGATCCTCTATCGCTGACTATATTCCCTTCGGAATCAGTCTGGTACCGGTAACATACGTTGCATTCGATATTAGTTGTCTCCCGACTCACCTTCTACCTATCTTCGGTTCCACGTATTACTTTACCATTCGATCACCTATTATCAACCAATTTTACCCCATAGAGATAGTCCCCCTACTTTTCGGTGACGTAACTTAGTGTTACTAGGAAGTAGGTGGAGATCCCTTTCTTTGCGGAAAAGTTCCAAAATAGTCTCTAACATTTGAAATGACACACATCTTCTCACATTTAATACCCCGAATACATGTTTTCCCGTGATATTTTCACCGATTTTCTAGGTAATCACGGCCACGATTTTTGCCGTTTATAACTTCTCTGCTATTCATCATTTTTACTCCTTCACTTTCACTATCTTCATAAATCTTTCTTCTTCTTTGCATTTGCTTGGAACTCCTTCATAACCTTCAACTTTCTCATTAAGAACTTTTCTTTTACTAACCCTTTACCACCATGGCTTCTTACACCACCTCCTTCGGAAACACTGGTCTTCTCTTCAGCAGAGGCCCGAAGAAAAAACAAAGCCAAGAAGGTTGATGTTGAGTCTGGCCCTCCAACTGTTAACACCATCATACCACTCCATCTCAATATTGCAAACTATCTTCAAGAAAAAACCCCTCATGCAACTTCTCAAGGCCACCGGTTTTGGCCAGTTCGTAAGTACCCCTCCTCCATCTGATCTTCCAATATCCCTATTGTGAAGGAGGACTGCAATTGCCCCAACATTTAAATCCTCACTCCAGACATGGTAGAGCGAGTTATCTACTATAGAGAAGGGTTTACGTATATCTATACGTATCTATTTACTTTGGGTTCATTCTCTTTGGGGACGAGTGAAGGTGTAACGACCCGACAGATCGTTTTGAGTATTACAACCCCGCTTCCCCCCTTTACTGCTCAAATTATACTTTATAGTTGTTGTGTGAATTGCCGGGGTAAATGATTCGGGTCCAGGGAGGTTTTGGAATGAATTGGAACATTTAGTTTCAAGGTTTGAAGCTTAAGTTAAAATAGTGATCGGATGTCAACTTATGTATAAACGACCCCGAAATGGAGTTTTGATGATTCCAATCGCTCCGTATGGTGATTTTGGACTTACATGTGCGAAAAATTATTTGGAGGTACGTAGTGGAATTTGACTTGAAATGCCGAAAGTTGAATTTTTGGAAAGTTTGATCGGGTGGTTGACTTTTTGATATCGGGGTCGGAATCCGATTCTAGAAATTTAAAATAGGTCCGTAATGTGAAATGTGACTTGTGTGCAAAATTTGAAGTCATTCCGGATTGATTTGATGTGTTCCGGTACAAGATATATAATTTGAAGTTTTAAAGTTCAATGATTTCGAATTTTGGTGTGATTCATCATTTCGATGTTGTTATGTATGCTTTAAGGCCTCGAGTAGGTCCGTGTTAGGTTATGGGACTTGTTGGTATATTTGGTTGAGGTCCCGGGAGCCTCGAGAGTTTTAGATGGTTAACGGATCAAATTCGGACTTAAGGAAATGCTGAAACTACTGCCTACTGGTGTGATCGCACTTGCGAAGCTTTTGATCGCAGGTGCGAAGCAGCATGTGCGCGTAATCAGTCGCAGAAGCGGTCAAGAGTGGAACTGGGCAGTTCTCGCAGGTGCGAGAATTTTCCGCATCTGCGAAGGGTAATGCGCATCTGCGAGCCCGAAGATGCGAGAAGGGTGCCGCCGATGCGAGGTTTTGGAAGGTTGGCTTTGTCCGCAGGCGCGCAATTATTTTTGCAAGAGAGGATGCGCAGGTGCGAGCCCAGGCACCGTAAGTGCGGAAATGCCTGGGCTGTGTTATAACGAGGGTTCCGAGTTTTGTTTCCCCATTTTTCCAATTTTGGAGCTCGGTTTGGGCGATTTTGTAGAGGAAGTTTTCCACACAACTTAAGGTAAGCGTTCTTGACTCCCTTGTGATTATATTTCATAAATTAATCTTCATTTTTGGTATAAGATTATCGAATATTCAAGAGAAATAGAAGGAAATTTCTATAATGTCACAAAAAGAATTTTTCAAGTTTGAATACCGATTTGGAGTCGGATTTGAGTGAAATTAGTATGGTTGAACTTGTAATTAGATGGGTTGTCGTATTTTGTGAGTTTCGTCAGATTCCGAGACATGGGCCCCACGGGTTATTTTGGGTTGGATTTTGTAAAAAATATTAGTATTTTGATATGGTATAATTTCCTATAATTTTCATGGGCTGAATCAAATTAATTGTACTAGATTCTAGTCGTTTGGAAGTGGATACACACAGAATGGGATTTCTGGAGCATTGTTTAGCTTGCTCGACTTTGGATTCGCGTGTTCAAGGTAAGTAACTCTTCTAATCTTGGAGCTGAGGGTATGGACCCTGATTATACATGTTATGTATTTTGTGTTGAGGTGAAGCACATGCTAGGTGATGGGCGTATGGGCGTGCACAGTGTGAACTGTGTAGTTATTTGAACTTGTCTGAAATCATGAAATCTCTACGTACTAGAGTTATCAAAAATGTGATTCATGCTATAAACTATGTTTAGACTACATGTCTATCTTATTGGGACCCACCGAGGTCATTTCTGCTATTAAATTATCTATTTTATTGCACTACATACTTATTCACACGCATTCATATGCATATCATATCTCAGTCTCTGTTGTTATTTATTGATACATTATATCATCATTTTCGGGTTATTTTCATGACATTGTGAGCCCATGAGAGAGACACTGGAGAGATTGATGACTGAGTGAGGCCGAGGGCCTGATTGATTCTGATATTGATACTGTGGCACGTGAGTTGTCCGTGCGGTTATTAGCACTTGGGCTGAAGGAGCCCTTCCGGAGTTTGTATACCACCAGTGAGCGTGGTTGATTATATTAAGGTATGGATCTTCCCTGGACATGGATCTTGTCCGAAGTATTTATATACCTGGAAATGGATCTTCTCTATGGGGCAGGATTGGCCTTCCTCGATACTGAGTGACTGATGGTCAGTGATGTATATATTCCGGGATGGATCTTCCCTGGACCATATGGGCCATATACAGTACCGAGTGGTTGAGCATGATGAGTGGAAAGTGTGAGACAGTGAGATTGAGTACTCTGAGAGTGTGAGTACATGATTCATCTCTAAGATACATGGCATTGGCATGCACACATGACATACATGCATAGAGATGTATTTTTCCTCATGCTGTACGGTATCACGTCATTTATGACTTTTTACACACATTGATATGTGGGCATAGAAAGGTATTTCACACTTTCTATCCGGAAAAAAAATGAAACATCTTATTTATTATGGAAAAGATATTTGGAAAAATTACAATTTTCAAACTTACTCGTATTTTTGGCATTTTTGGTAAAAGAGTTGGGTTTTCACTAAGATACTTGAAAGGCATGACTATGTTCTGGAACTGTGAACGAGATGATCATTTTATCTCTGAGTTACTTCTGGTATTATTTGCTTTATGATGTTATGGACTGTTGTGGACTATAGGTTTTGGACCCGACCTTAGTGGAAACTCGTCACTACTTTCCACTTAAGGTTAGGTTTGTTACTTACTCAGTACATGGGGTCGGTTGTACTGATACTACACTTATGCACATTGCGTGCAGATATTGATTGTTCTTGTTGCTGTGCTTGATGGTTGCAGGATTTGAAGATGTACCTGCATTCCTGTTGTAGCTGCCTCTTGTTCATGGTAGCCTTAGATTTATAAAAGCTCTGTTTATGTACTATTCAAATAGACTATGTATTTATTTCATTTCCGCTTTGTAAACTCTATTCTT